AATCTTAACATTCTTACCATCTTTATATTTATTCATCTTTTGTTGATGTTGATGCTTGTGATTTCATAGATTTTCAAATTTTCTTCTGATTGATGCTATATCTTTACTCTCAACATCTAGTAAGTCTCTTCCATCCATGTCTTCAACTTTTAACACTATAGTTTCACCTGCAACCAAAAGCTTTTGACTCAAACTATGCTCATTTGTAATGAGTGAGCCAATCAAATTATTAATAGAATACTTATTCAAATTTTTTGATTCATAAATAGCAATGACTTTGGAAATAAACATAATAAAGTAGATAACATAAAATTTTATTAATGTTTAAAAATTCTTTACCTAAAGCATGTAATGATGTCACAATTTAAATAAATCTAGTATACATATCTAGAATAGCCTCATATGATTTCATACAAAATAATTCACAATCATGTATTAAAATATTCATTCTGGATTACTTGACTTTATTAGTACCTTTGTATGTATTGTGTAGTTTTTCCCAAACTGTCTTGCCAAAAGTACATGTGAATACTAACATACAATCTTCAAAATTCAAAGCATAAAAAAATAGTTTTTGTTCTACTCTACTCCATTAAAAAAAAAGTAATATTAGTTTTTACTCCATCTATAATATGTGATGGTACAAAATAACCAGTTTGAATCATATGCCATATTTGATAATCAATTTATTGCAAAAAAGTGAACATGCATGTTTTCCAACAATCATACAGAATATTATCAACAAAAGGTGGTTTAGTGATTAAATGTTTTTCTATAGTATTTTTATTTCTAAAGTTAGCCAAAAATCAAAATTCAAAAACTTTCTAAAACTTTATTTTATAAATCCCACTCTGATACCATTTGAAAGTTCATTAGGGTTGTTAAGCCCTTATGAACTAGTCCAAGGCTCCCCGTGAATGATAATTTTAAAAATTCATAAACAAAAAGAAAAATATTTTAGAAACATTTTGAATATTTTAAAACAAATAAGATCAACCCTTGAAGCAGAAAGAATTAATAAAATAAATCAAAGATTTTAACCATTCATTCAATCATAGAAAATTAAAGTACGGAAATTAAAATGCAAAAAAGTAATATGAAAGAACATAAGATTTATAGTTGTTCAGTCAACTTCACATATGTGCACTCCATGGAGACACCCTCTCCAAGTATTGCACTAAACCTTTAGTGACTCTCCTTTCTCTCTCACATTAAGGCAGAGAAGCTCTTAAAAAATATTTCCACCATCACGATGAGGAAGAGAACCTTGAATCCTTTTTCACCCTCCTAGTGAAGGCAGATAACCTAGAATCCTTATACTCCCTTCTAGAGTAGACAGAGAACCTGATCTGACGCTGATGATAGTCTCCCTGGAGCCACTAAGGAACTAAGGATGAAGCTTGAAGAAGTCAAACGAATCCTTTCTTGGAGATTCCCCTCATAAACTCTCCCTCACAATATTCTCCCTCTCTCTCCCAAACTCCACTTCTCCTTCTCTAATCTCTCTTAGGTTAGAACTTCATCAAAAGATTTTATCATCAGCATTTAAGAGAGCGTAAATAGGAGGCCTTAAAAAGTTCCCTAATTTTCAAATTATACAATTACTTTAAATCAGTCCTTCTAGCCAAGATGATATGGGTTTCATGTTTGATTAGAACATAAAGTTTGTTCTAATCATAAATCATCCTATACGATTAGTTCAAACATACACTTTTCATCCAAAAAATTGTTTGGGATGTCTAGGAGATAAATTGAGATGATATGTCAAAATATAACTTATCATCCATGATGTTGTGATTGTCCTATATGATTACATCAAAATCAGACATCAGTATCTATTAGATCATTCAGGACGTCCAGGTTGCTTAGGAGAAAACTAAGGTTTTTGTTATAGATCATCCAGTATAATTCTGTGATCAGCCCAGATGATATGATTGATTAATATAACCTTAATTACTCTCCTAATCACTTGATCAATTTAAGCATGATTATTACAAATCATCAAAGATGATCAGTACGAAAGGTCTAGAGAGAGATGCTCTGAATTTTAGAGAGAGAAAGCGTTCATTTTCAAAAAAAAATTTTCTCGGGCGTGGTTCCATTCTTCGCGAAATTTGATCCGTGAGGGTCAATGGATGGCCGCCGGCCATCTTCGGCGGTGGGAGATGTTGGTATTGCTATAGGTCGAGGTTTAGTTTTGTCAAGAGAGAAGGATGGTCGTCGTTCTTCTTCAATTTTGACAGATGGGAAGTCTGATGATGTGGTTTCTTGTGATCAAGATTTGGGAGGAATTGTTCATAAAAAGTCTGTTGATGGTGCTTTCGTTCATCCTTTAGGACCTTTGGTGATTAAGGAGAATGGTATGGAAACGGTCAAGAAGATTTCATTTGTCGTCGGTAAGGGAAAGGCAATTGTCGAAGAAGAGGAAGTCGTTTCTCCTGTTATAGTTAGTAATGTTTTTTATCAGAATTCTATTAAGCCAGCGGCATCCTCTGCTGAAACGAACATTTATGTTAACAGGTTCGACAATTCAAATGCAATCTCTGGTTTAGGCTATGGGATAAATGTGAATGTTTGTAATCCTGTTAACAAAGATGTTCAATTCTTATCTAGCTCTATTTCGGATGTTGCTAAGGAGGTGGAGAAGATTACTGATGGAATGTCTATGAAGAAATTGGATGGGGTGGATGATAATCCGTGGAAAAGGAAGCCATATATTATGTTGGATTTTAAAGAGGAGGGTATGGTCTTCTCGGAAGATGGAAAATATGTGAAAATGTTAGAAGAAAGAGAGGTTTCTAATTCTCATAAGCTAAGGAATTCTTCGGTGATTAAGTTTTTTGGGAAAGAAATTCCCCCTCATGTTGTTGCTTGGGAAATAAGGAGGCAGTGGAAGATGTTTGGCAATTTTCACTTTACAACTTTGGGGAAAGGATGGTTTCTTTGTTCCTTTGAGTCTAATGAGATGATGGAAGGTGTTTTATCAGGAGGGCCTTGGTTTGTCAATGGCTTTATTATGGTGATGGAGAAATGGTCTTTGGAATTTTCCACTCTTTCGTTGAAAGGTTTAACCTCACCAATTTGGATCAGAATGCCTCACTTGCCCTTATAGTGTTGGGATGAAGTGAATGTGGCTCGTATTGCTTCATCTATTGGTAAACCGTTGATGATAGATGGTAATATGTTTCAATGAGGGAAAAGTGAATTTGCCAGAGTTTATGTGAGAGTTAAGCTGGATCAGTGTCTTCCTCTAGGAGTATGGGTTGATAGCATCTTTGGGATGTTCTTTCAGAGTTTTGAGTATGAGAAGATCTCAACTCTTTGCTATGGATGTGGAATGGTGTGACATCATAAAATTGATTGTAAATTGAAGAGTGATGGACATTCTGGCAAGGAGTTGTATGAAAGAGAGTCTAGGGAAGCCAAGGCTGTTGAAAAGGTTCATGAAGAGGTTACTGATCACTCTTATGGTCCTTGGATCGTGGTGAAGAAAAAAATGAATAGAAGACCTGTTGCTCTGAAGGAGAAAATGAAATCTGTAAAGAAATAATGGTTTAAAGTGGGTGGTATCTGGATGAAGTGGCTGGAAAGCTATTCAAGGTGTTGATTCTGTTGATAAGGCGGCTGTGAGAGTTCGTTAGGGATGTTAAGCCCTATAGAACTGGCCAGATGCTAACCAAGAGGGGGGTGAATTGGTATTTAAAATTTTCTTTAAGCAAAGCACAAATATCATAAACAAAATCACCACAAAAACAAGTGCAAAAAAAATAAATGCGGAAGCAGTAAAAATAAGAACACAGGTTTATAGTGGTTCAGTCAACTCGACGTACGTACACTCCCCGGAGGCGCCCTCTGAGTATTGCATTACAATCGTGACTCTCCTTTAGCCCCCACAGCTAGGCGGAGAAGCCCTTATAAACACCTCCTTTCTGCCACCCCCGGCAAGGCAGAGAACCAACCTCCTTCTGCTTCCTCCTAAAGCAGGCAGAGAACCTCGATCGATCGCTGAAGCTTACCTCTCCCAACCTCTCCAAGGACAAGAGACTCTAGGAAGAAGAAGTGGAATAATGCTTGGAACAACCCTTGTGAATCCCCTCACAAGCTCCCCCTCATAAGATCCTCTCTCTCTCTCTCTCTCCTGAGCGAATGCTATGAAGAGGGAGGATCCTCCTTCTAGTTTGAAGATGGAGATAATGCCGGCTGCGGAAGTAAGTATGAGTATTAACCCGACCTTTGTTGGGACGGAATCTTCAATGGAGATGGATGAACTGCAATCGGCGCAGGAGGAGAGCATTGATCTAGAGGAGATGTTCGATGTCGATGCGGCCATGCCAGGTCGGACGAATGTGATAAAGATTGGTGACGAATAGTCATTGGTGAATTCTGATCTGATGATTGGAGCTGACTGCGCGATGGAGGTTAGTTCTAATTTTAATGATCAGAATAATACTGTTATGGATGTTGTTATGGGATATGAGCTGGGGAAGGAATCAGCAGTGGTTGGAATGGCAGGGGTGAATGAAACAGAGGTTGGTTCTGCTAGATTGAGTAATCAGCAGAATAGCCCTCTAGGTGATTGTGGAAATGCGGCTTCAATTAGGAGCTAGGAGATTGAGAAAGGAAAGGCTCAGATGCAAGTTGAGAATAGATTCCCGCTGCTCTCTGGTGGCGCGAGTAATGCCTGGAGGAAGCCTGAGCACGTTCCGATCCAAAATCCAGAGGAGATAAATGCTTTGTCTAATGATGGGATCACTATTGATCTCAATATGGAGTATGTTATGGCAAATGTGGCCAAATTGGAAAGGGCTGTTGTAGGGAAGATCATGGGAAGAAGAGTTTCGTTTTTTCTATTGAAAAATGAAATCCAGCGTTAGTGGGGACGATTTGGAGAGTTTCAGCTTACAACGTTGGGACATGATTGCTTTGTTTGTGTATTTGGATCGACTGAAGCCAGGAATGCCGCCTTATGTGGTGGCCCGTGGTTCATTGGAGAGAATATCATGGGGCTGGATCGATGGACGCCGCATTTCTCTCCGGAGTCAATGGAAGGATTATCCTCCCCTGTATGGATTCGTCTTCCAAACCTTCCTCTTCAGTATTGGGATGATTGCAATAATGCTAGGATTGCGTTGAAGATCGGAGTGCCGCTCTGGATCGATGCGCAGACAGGAAATTGGGGTAGAAGGGAGTATGCCCGGGTGTGTGTCCGAATGTGTTTGGACAGGAAACTGCAATCGGGAATTTGGATTAATGGTATGAACGGGAGGTTCTACCAAAAGGTAGTATATGAAGGCATTGGGATATTGTGTTATGGATGTGGAAAGGTGGGGCATCAGAAGGAGTTCTGTCCATCTAAAGCTGTTGGACAAGGGGGGAATGAGACCAGAAGAGCAGAAGAACTCTCAAAGCAAGGCGACAAGGGAGATGGTAATTCTGCCCAGAAGTTGAGTAAGAATGGGATATTGGATCCCATACAAACTAAGAAAACGGTTTTACCTGTTGTTAAAATAGAGGATGGTGGCAAAGGAAAAGCTGTTGACGGCCGTAAGAAGGGGGGGAATGCTGAAGCACATGATGAATGTAATGGGGGAAAAGTTGGCATGGAGGAAGGTTCACAGAATAATGAGGACCATACGGGTCCTTGGATTCAAGTTCCCCCACTGAGAAGAAGAACGGCACAAGCACAGGGCAAGAATAAGGAGAATGTGGGCAGCAAACAGAATTTCAACTTTCCTAAGCAAGTGGACTTAAACAAAGTTCAAGTACCGGATAGTAAGGTGAAGCCCACTCATAAGCAGATCGGAATGGGGTTCAAGCAGAGGCTGCCATTCACGGATGGTATTAGAATGAATAATAGAGCCAATGCTCTAAAGGAGCTTAATCAATTGGGACCCATGGTGGAGGCGCCCAGGAAAAGGAAGAAGGAGATGCTGGGAGAGCATGACTGTGCAAACATTAGCGGCGGGGACGCTTCCCCTTTGGTGTTTAATGCCTGACATCCTAATATGGAACTGCAGGGGTGCCCGGAAGAAGCAGACTGGGTATTACCTGCGTAGCCCCATTGGTAATAATGAGGTGATGTTTGTTGGCTTAGTTGAAACTATGATAGAAGACATTTCTAGGTTAGATGTTAATAGACTCATTGGTCCCAACTGGGAGTTTTTTTCACTATCCAGCTGAGGGAAGATCTGGTAGACTGTTTGTGATGTGGAGACGGGATACTACGCAATTTGAGGTTGTTTCGACTATGAACCAAGCTATTATTGGTCATTTGGTGATGCCCAATCTTCAGAAATGGGGAATTGTACTTGTCTATGCCAGCAAGAGCTACCATAGCCGCAGGAAGCTATGGAGTACCATTGGTGCTAGCCTTGATGCTGAGTTACCAATTATTGTTGGTGGAGACTTCAATTGTTGCCTTGATTAAAGTGAGAAGAAAGGAGGTAGAAAGTATAGCTACTCGATGGGTGCTCAGGAAATGGCAACTTTCCATGTTGAAAATGATCTCCATGACTTGGGATTTATGGGTCCTAAGTTTATATGGACTAATAATAAAACTGGCAACAGTAAGATATGGGTTAGACTGGACAGAGTTTTAATGAACTCTGAAGGCCTTAGACTTGCCCCATTGGCCACGGTTAAGCATTTGTTGAGAATTGCATCTGATCATTGTCCATTGTTGCTGAATCTAACGTCTAATCCTCCAAAATCTGGGAGTAGATGGTATAGATTTGAAGATATTTGGATGTCTTATCCAGCTACTTGGAAGCTGGTATGGAAGGAATGGAACAAAACTGATTACGGGCAACCAGCTGAAGTGCTAAATCGTAAGTGTTTTAGAACACTTAGAGCAATGTTCTTCTGGAGTAGAAACCGGTCAAAGGAGCTGGGGAATTTGAAAATTCGCTGGAGGCAAGATTGGGGGAACTTCAAGAACTTGAATCTTCAAATGCTGGATTAAATGATGCACAGGAGCATGAGATGCGGAGAAAGGCTTCTGCACAGGAGCAGGAAATGAGGAGAAAGGCTTCTGAACTGAATACCACATTAGGCCGTATTACAACTTGGTGGAGACAGAGAGAGAAGGCGAGATGGATTGAAGAGGGAGATGCCAATTCTCATTTCTTTCATTCCTTTGCCTCGGCACGTAGGAGGGGAAATAGAATTCTGGAGGTCCAGCAGCCGAATGGCGATAGGAGTGATGATCCAGCTTTTATACAGGAGGAGTTTATGAAGTTTTTCATACTCAAATGGGAAGAGAGGCAGATTGTGTGTGATAGCTAGCCATGCTTTCACAGGGAAGACAAGATTCATGCTCAGGTGAATGAGATTTTGGAGGCTGAAATCACGGAGCAGGAGGTTCGACAAGCTGTCTTCATCATGGGGAACAATCATGCACCGGGCATGGATGGTATTACATCTTCCTTCCTTAAATTTTACTGGGAAATTATTAAATGTGAGGTGACTCGTGCTATTATTCATTTCTTTTGCACTAACTCTATGTGTGAAAGTTGGAAGGATACCTTAGTGGTTCTTATACCAAAGGTTGAGAATGCTTGTATGCCGGCTAAGTTTCATCCAATTAGCCTTTGCCAATCCTTTTATAAGGTTGTGGCAAAGATCTTGATTAATAGGCTCAAACCAGTGCTGGGCAGCATTGTTAGTGAGGAGCAAGGGGCTTTTGTTCCAGGGAGGTCTATTTCCAACCATGGCCTTATTGCTTAGGAGTTGATGAATAGGTTCCAGTTCTCTGTGAAGAAATCGGGGATGATTGCTTTGAAAATTGATATGGAGCAGGAATATGATTGTATGTCCTGGGATACGCTGCAGAGTGTTATGCAATTGATGGGATTCTCTCAGAGGTTTGTGGAATGGACTATTTAATGTGTTGCCAAGCCAAGATTCTCTTTGCTGCTCAATGGTAATAGAACGCCATGGATCTATGCTGAAAGTGGTCTTCGACAAGGTGTCCTTTGTCGCCATATCGGTTCATTCTCTGTTTGAAGCTCCTCACCAAAGCCTTTAGACAGAGGGGGGAACAGCTTGGAGTTCAAGTTGTTAATAATGTGGAAAGGATATCTCATCTGCTATATGCAGATGATATCCTCATTTTTGCTGAGGCCAGCAGGAGGAATGCCAATTGTATCATGAAGCTTTTGGGGGACTATTGTGACTGGACTGGACAGAAGATCAACGGTGGGAAATCAGCTGTTCTCTTCAGCAAGAGCTGTCCTAACTGGAAGAAGCGTATGATTGCCAAGCTAATGGGGTATAGGAAGGTGAACTCTATTGAATATCTGGGGCTGCCGTTGGTCTTGAGGAGGTTAATGACTGAAGATTTTGTTAAAACTATCAGGAATGCTCATCAGAAGACCAATATATGGGGGAAGAAGCATCTGTCGTTTGCTGGCAGAGCTTTGCTAATTCGTACATCATTACTTAGCATTCCAATGTACTTGATTACTCACACTTCAGTTCCTAAGGGGATCCTACATTCTATTGAAAAACTTGGCAGAACTTTTTTATAGCAGAAGGACTCTAATAGTAGGGGAATGCATTATGTTGAATGGAAAGAATTATGCCAACCCAGGGACCATGGGTGTCTTGGATTTCACGGATTGGATAATTGGCTGGGAGCCCTACGTGCTAGGCTGGCATGGCAGGTGATTAGTAATCCAGATTTACTGCTGCATAAGGTGCTGAGAGGGAAATATGGCATGGAGCTTTGGAATGACACGCAGGTTTATAAAGCCTCTACTACTTGGAAGGTGATTCATGATGGTGTTAAGGCTCTTAGAACTATCATCAGGTGGAACATTGGGGATGGACAAAGCATTGATGTGATGAAGGACTGCTGGATACTTGATCGGAGGATAGACAATTGGCCGACCTTTGTTATCCCCCCTCCAGGATGGCTGAAATTTAATGTTGATGCTGCGGTGAAACCTTCTAATTTGGCCGGAATTGGCATTGTGGTGAGGAACTATGAGGGAGCATTGATTGTTGCTGCTGGTAAATCATTTGAGCATTGGGATGCTTGTCGAGCTGAGGTAGATGCTGCAGCTGCTATCTATGAGATTCTCATGGATTGGATGTTTGAATTAGATGGTATCATTATAGAAGGGGATTGCATCAATGCTATTAGATGGCTACAGAACATATATGATCACAGAAATAAGGTCCACTTCAGTAATGAGGGGCCGGATCTCTCATTTTTTATGGGATTCAAGAAAGTTCTTTTTCAGTATATAAATAGGAATAACAATTGGCCAGCTCACTTCTGTGCCAATTTAGCTTTACAGGATAGTTTTACTTTTCTTGATGTAAATAATGATGAGTTCCCCTCAACTCTCTTAAGTTTGTTGAGGGAGGAAAGTGATAGGATATAATTACTTTGAGTGTTTTCTTGTAACTAGTTTACTTCCTTTTATTAATGCAAAATGCAACGTTCAGCTCTCCTTTAGATTTTTTCAGGTCAAGACAGTAGCCAAGTATGTTCAAAAATGTTGAACAAGATCTCTTAAATAGAAAAGCTTCAAAAGAGCTCATTAATTGCAAGTTGTCGACTTTATCGTCTAGGATGATATGTAAATCATCCTGGCCGGCCAGTACAAATCTCATAATATCAGCCAAAGCATCGCTCTGAATGCAAACTAGACGATTGAAAATTTGCTTGATCGTCCCGGATGATTTCATGATTGTCCTTGCCGATCAGTTCAAATCAGAGGAAAATCGTCCAGAGCATTGCCCTGAATTTATGTTGGCCGATATTTATCGTCCAGAACCACCTAAGGGTTTTTGAATAGATTCTCCTGACCGATCCTGAGATCATCCAGGACAATATGATCGTATCAATCATCCTTAATTACTTTCTTGATTCCTTGATTAATTTAGGCATAATTGTATGATATCGTCGAGGCCGATCTCATGATCGTCCTGGCCGATTTCCAAAAATACAGAATACCTAAATTAATCTTGGCGGCAATTTCTTTCTGTATTGAGCATATCATCCTGGCCGATACAGGTATCGTCCAGGCCGATTAGTTAATTACGGCTGCCTTAACTAAGAAATTTTGATTAGATCTTCTGTTTTGAGCTCGATCGTCCAGGACGATATAAATATCGTCCGGGACGATGCGAGTAAAAACACAAGTTCTAAATCTCTCAAGTGTGTGTATGTAGGGTTACTTAACATCAGTCACTTCAAGAAATTACAATTGACTCAAGAAAGAAAAAAGAAAATTATATACTGACTCAATCCTAATCTACCCAGTCTTGAGTTGTTTCCGATTTCCGTTCGATCTTTGAGTCCTGAAAAGTCAGTAGAAAAAGGCAGTCATAGTGAAACAGGATTTATTTGCTATCATCAAAATCATAATCCAAAAAAAAAGGTTTGTAACAGGATGAAGTGGCTGTTAGCAATCAATTAGAAGAAGGGGAGATACCTGGTGTAGAGGTAATGCCTGTATCTGGGAGGGACCCCGGCTATATGGAAAGTTCTGCTCTGGAGGCTGTTGATTCCTTTAATGCTCCTTCAGCGACTGATGGTATGATTTCTAATGTTAATATCCCTCTTTTTCCTATCGTTTTGAATAAATTTGATGTGTTGAATGGGATGGAGGATGATGGAATAGGGAATGTTTGCCTTAAAACCAATTCTGGAGATGGTGGGTATGTTGACAGTGAGGGGTTTCATCTTAATGTTAGTAGTCTAGATGGAAAGGGATATGCTAAGGGCAGTGAAGATAGTAAGTGTGTGGTGAGTAGTGAGAAGGAGATTGTTTCTAGTGGAGATCTGGGGAAGTGTAGGCTTGCTAAAGAACTTAGAGCTTTGGGCCCTATCAAGAACAGTTCTAAAGGTAGAAATGTGAACGGAGGTATGAAGAAAAGAGGTGGGGGCTCTTCCCTCAGAGTTTCTTAATGGATTCTATTGTTTTTTGGAACTGTAGGGGGGGACAAAAAAAGGGAGGTCTCTCTTTATTTAAAGGAGATTTTCAAGGATTACAAAGTCTTCTTTGTTGGGTTAATAGAAACTAAAATTTCTTATATGGATAGAGACTCGTTTGTAAAGATGATGGGGCAGGGTTGGGACTTTTTTTTGCTTCCATCTGTAGGGCTTTCTAGTGGTATTATGGTTATTTGGAGATCAAATATGGCGACTTTTTCTATTTTGAAGACTTCAGATCAATGTGTCATTGGTGAGCTCAATGTTTTCAAGAGAGAAGTTTGGATGATTACTACTGTTTATGCTAGCAAGGAGACTATTATAAGGAGATGTCTTTGGGATGTTATTTAGGAGGCTTCTCAGAGAGATATTCCTTCTATTATTGGAGGGGATTTCAATTGCATTTTGGATAAAGAAGATAAGAAGGGAGGTAGGAGATTCAAATTCAATCAAGGATCTTTGGATATGGTAAAGTTTATGAATGAGAATGATTATCATGAAGTTGGGTTTGTTGGACAAATATTCACTTGGTGCAACAACAAAAGGGGAGGAGATCAGATTCTGGAAAGACTTGATAGGTGTATTCTTAAAACTTTGGCCATCAACAAAATCCAAATTACTTTGGTTAGACACCTTTCCAGAGTTGCTTCGGATCACTGTCCGATTGTTCTGAAGATATTTGAGTCGGTTTGTAAAGGCAGAAGTGGATTTAAGTTTGAAAACACTTGGCTTTCATTCAAGACAGTGGAGCATATTGTTTCTAGTAGGTGGAAGAGAACTTTCTTGGGAGATGACATGGAGATTCTTAACAAAAAATGCAAAAGAAACTTAAAAGATTTATTTTACTGGAGCAAGGGTAGACTGGAGAATTTCTCCTTGGAGAAAGAAAGACTGAAAGCTGAGATTATAAACTTGCAAGAAGAAGAATCTAGATACGGTTGGTTGACTAAGGAGAAGCTCTGTTTACTTAAAGCTAAGGTTAAAGAACTTAATGTTGTTCTTAATAATCTTAATACTTGGTGGAAGCAAAGGGCAAAAGCTAAGTGGGTCAAAGATGGTGATGCAAATACCAAATTCTTCCATTCCTTTGCCAACTCTAGAAGGAATGTTAATCGAATTTCCCATGTTAAGGACTCTAATGGAATGCTGACTAAATACCTGAAAGAGATTGAGGAGGTATTTAGTAGGTTTTTTCAGGGGAAGTGGAAATCCAGAAACTGCAGCTTTTCTTGATGGCAGAATCGTGGATGTTGTTGGAAGACAGTGACAAGGAATCGTTGATCAAGGATCTGGAAGATGCTAAAATTAAAGAAGTTATAATCAATCTGGGCAGTAATAAATCTTCGGGCTTTGATGGAATTACTCATTCCTTCTTCAAAGCTTTTTGGAATATTATTCGAATGGATGTGGTGAGAGCTGTACAGCAGTTTTTAGTCACTGGTTTAATGAAAAAGGAATAGAAAGACACCTTAGTTGTGCTCATTTCTAAAGCTCCTAATCCCAGTACTTCATCGGCTTACCGTTCTATAAGCCTATGCAACTTATTTTATAAAATTATTGCTAATGTTTTGCTTAATAAAATGTTGGGAGTCATGCCGAGGATCATTTCTGAGGAGCAAGCGGCTTTTGTGAGAGGAAGGTCAATCTCTGATCATCTTCTTCTGGCTCAGGAGGTTTTTAACAAGATGAGATTTTCCAAGGCTTGCAATGGTTTCTTGGATATAAAAGTGGACATGGAGCAAGCATATGTTAGCATTTGCTGGTCTACTTTGGAGAAAATGATGTTTGAATTGGGATTCCCTTCCAGGTTTGTTCATTTAGTGTTGGAATGTATCACAGTTCCAAGGTATTCTATTATGATCAATGGTGTGAATTCTAGTTGGATTGAGGGAAAGAGTGGTTTTCTTCAGGGATGCCCTCTATCACCGTTTCTTTTTATTCTTTGCTCCCAACTGCTTTCTAACGCCTTTCGTAGCAGGGACTCTGATGTGGGTATTAGGATCTCTTCTAATGCCCAGAAGATATCTTACCTTTTATTTGTAGATGATATTTTGCTATTTTTGGAAGCCAAAATGAATGTCATGAAAAAGGTTAGAAAGATTATGAAGAATTATTGTAATTGTACTGGTCAAAACATCAATTACCACAAATCTTCCTTGGTTTGTGGTAGCTCAGTGGATAGAAGGAGAAGAGTACAAATTTCAAGGTTTATGGGTATTAAGTTGGTTAATGAATTTGAGTATTTGGGCATCAAATTGGCATTGAGACGTTTAACGAAAAGGACTTTCAGGTTTTAATAGATAAGTCTAGCAAAAGAATTTATGCTTGGGGAAATAATTTTGTTTCCTTAGCCGGTAGACCAGTTTTAATTAAATCATTTGTTCTTTCTCTTCTAGTGTTTGTCATGTCTCATTCTCTTATTCTGATGAAGACGTTGATGGAATTTGAGAAAATCTGTAGATATTTCATCTGGAACAAATTTGATGGCAAAAGGGGTATTCATTATGTATCATGGGAACAAATGTGTAAGCAAAAACAATTTGGTGGTTGTGATGTACATTCTAATGTGGCTAGGAGGAATGCCATAATAGCCAAGTTTGCTTGGAAATTGATTGATAAACCTGAGTCATTGTTGAGCAGACATCTTATTGATAAATATGGTGATAATTGGTGGAGCTATGGGCTGAGTAGGAGTAGTTCCTCTACATGGAAGATCATGCTCGCTGGATGGAATGCACTTAAGGATCATGTTAGATGGAGAATTGGTGATGGTTCTAAAATTAAAGTGCTGAACAATATCTGGATTTTAGATAAATCCTTACTCAAATGACCAACGTTTGTGGGTTATTTTGAGGATGAGAATATTTCTCTGGATTTTTTTCATTTCAGATGGCTGCTGGGATCGTGAAAAACTTTTTTTGTTCTTTGGTACAGATCTTATTTATCTCATTTGTGAAGTTAAGATTGATCCCTGTTTGCATAAGGATTGTATGGTATTGAAACATAAGATGTCTAGTAAGTCATTATCTGCTTTAATTATACAAGATAACTTCAAAAATCTGGAAGACGTGATTCCATTGAGATGGACTTATAAACTAGGTTTAAATGCAAGATTGGAGGTCTTTATTTGGAGGATGTTTACGGATGCTCTTCCTTCAGATGCTTTTCTGTCCAGGAGGAAACTTTCTTATGGTCCTTTTTACCCAATTGGATGTGGAATTTTGGAGGATATAAATCATATTTCATACAACTGTTGTAAACTCGGGAAGGTACTGTATGTGCTGAGAGAATGGGGATTCCAGATTCCCGTTTTCAGTGGATGGAATGATTGCTGGGCTAGTCTTCAGAGGCTCAAAGACGGTAATTTGATGATGGTAAAATTATATTTTACAATTATTTGGTTTTTTTGGAATCATAGAAATAAGTTTAAGCATGGGAATCCGGAAGTTAGTGAGGTGTTTATTGCTACTTCAATTCTTAGCTTTATCAGTCAGGATAAATAGCAGCTTGTTCAATCAAAGAACTGGGTTGTCAATCATTCCTTTTGGCTGTCTTCAGGTAAATGGCAACCTCCTCCCCCCGATTGGATTAAAATTAACCTTGATGCTTCTCTTAAAAGGAATTATGAGGCAGGTCTTGGTGGTATTGTAAGGGATTGTAAAGGAAGGTTTATTCTTTCATTTGGTATGAAGAAAACACATTGGGACATTGCCCAGCTAGAGTTGTCTGCTGTTTCGGCTCTCACAGATATTATACGTGACAGATTTGATGATGTTGGGGGCATTATTGTAGATGGGGACAATAAAAATGTTATAGAAATTCTTCACAAAATGCACAGTATACCGAAGAATATGCATAAGAGATTGGAGATTGAAGATTCTTCATTTCTTAATAAGGTAAATAATGTGATTTTTCATTGGGTTAATCGTAGTTGTAATAGATTAGCCGATTTATGTGCTAATCATGCTCTTTTTAGTGATTTTCTTTGGGAAGTGTTTTGTGAGAGTGAACTACCTTCTTCCTTTTGTGCTATGTTAAAGGAAGATTGTGTTAGTGATCTACACTCTCAGTAGTTTGTACCTAGGTTTTGCTCTTTTTTTTTCCTTCTATGCAATTTTAGCATTCTTCAAAAAAAAATCAAAGATGATCAGTATTGTCCTATATAATTAGTGCAAATTTAAGAGTTATAAAATCTTACCTAAATGAGTTTGGCGGTGGGTTTTTGTGATTTAGTCATATCATCCGAGATGATGGGAGCATCATCCAAGATTATTTGCTTAATCAGGTTTACTTGACCCATATGCCCTAATTAGAGTTGTGAGCTAATTAGATCATCTAGGATGATAAAAAATCATCCTATATGATTTAATAAGAAAAATTAATTTTCTCTATCTCCCTTTACTCAATCCCTTAAGTGTGTGTGTGCAAGGTTACTTAGCTTCAGAATCCACCACATTACAATTGACTCAAGAAAAGGTAGAAAATATATTTAAATTAAAATTACAGACTTAACTCAGTCCTAGTCTACCCGATCTTGAGCTGGCATGAGAGTGAGCTTGTGGAGCTGAAATCTTAGTTTTCATCATAGAAAATATATATGCAATGAACATTAATTATTAGGAGATAGCATAGTAAATTAAAATAATAATGTTTTTTATTATAAAAAATCATAAGACTTGGGCCCAGATCTCTAACAGCTTAGTGGTTCCTAATAGTCATAAGATTTTTAGTGTATCTAAATGTCTTATAAGTAGCATTAAATTTAGTACCAATCATAAAACAATAGGTAACTGTATAAAGTTAAAGGTTTATGTTCATTTGGTCACTAGGTTTAGGTATCACATTATATTGAAGATCGTGATAAGTAACCCTTGAATTTAAAAGCATCTTATTGACTACATATTAGTGTTGATTAATTGGGGAATTTTCTCAGTGTGGTGTTTATGGTTGTCCAGTTATAATTCAAGGAAAGAGTAATGTCACTTGGGGATTTATTAATATTAGAAAGATGGGGGTATTCATATAGGTTTATGTCAGTGATCGTGACTTGATATTAGTAGACATAGGACTCCATAGTTATAATGTCATATATAATCTTAAGGTTGGTGAAGATCTCTAAGAGTAGCTCAATGAGGTCGAGGAAGGCTTGGCATATGAGAAATTAGAGGGGGGTAGCATTAAATAAATCTATAACTTATTGGAAAGCATCTCATGAGTCATTACCTTAAATTTAATTATTTAGGCACTTTGATACTTTTTGTAGGCTGCTTGGTCTTCCTTTCCCTGGAATCTATCATTTAGCTTTGCCTTTTGAACACCCAATCTACTTCTTTTGTAAGCCATTAAAGGGAAGAAAAAGAGTTCACACTCGTATTGGAAGAGTAGAAGATGTAAAGGCGTGAATTGAATGTGAAACCATATGCTTCTAATAGTGTTTATTTGATTATACAATATGATTGAAGGATCATACTTATAGATAGAGTGAGTACAAATTATATCATAAAGAACATACAGACTATGGTCAAGTTGTATAGTATAATAGGGTATTATGCAGTATAACCTTTTACTTCTTGATTGTCTTGATAAGACATCTGTACGACTATTTAACGAAAGTAATCATATAGTACAATGTGTCATTCTTATAGTTTAATAATGACCATAATAAATAGCTAAAATGGAAATTACTAGCTTGAAACCATTTTATCCTATGTGTATTATATAATATTATTAGTGCATCATACAATATAAGATTTTTATATAATATATGAACTATATTTTAACATCTTCATCATTATCCAGACTCTAATAAGATGGTGTCCCACATCAATATATTTAGTTTGGGAATGCTAAATTGGATTCTTAGTGATATAGATCACACAAATATTATCAAACATGATGGTGATGGTGTTTATTTATAATATAAAATTAAGAAGTTATTACTTCATCCAATAGACTTGAACAATACATCTTCCTATAGTTATACATTTACCATCTCTAGTTGATAAAGCTATTGAATTTTACTTCCTACTATATAATAAAACTAAAGATTGTCCTATGAACTAGCAAGTTCTTGAGGTACTCTTTCTATTTATCTTACATCATGATGAATCTAAATTTTAGTATCCCACTATTTATTTTTTTTTAGGAAAGCAATTAAATTGCATTAATAAAAAAAGAAAACTATTACAAACTAGAACCATAAACTGATTCCTCCTCTAACATTTGATTAAAGA